TTTGGTATATCCTTCTCTATCCATTTACTTTCAGTCCATCTGTGTATTCATTTTTAAAGTGTCTTTAAAAGGCAACATGTAGATGGGTCTTGCTTCTTGAATCTACTCTTATTTGCAGTGTTTAGATTATTAACATTTAATGTAATTATTAATGTAGTTGGAGTTTATTATTTATCTTCTGTTTGTCCCCTTGTGTGTTTTTTTCTTCTGTTCTCCCTTCTTTTGGATTAATTGAATAGTTTTTTAGTTCATTTATTCCATTTTAATATATCGATTTTTTTTTTGGCTGTATTTCTTTGTGTATTTTTAAATGGCTGCACTAGGGATTTTAGTATATGTTAATAGTCTACTTGTTTTGCAAACTATCCACCTGACAAGAGATTAACAACCAGAATATAAAAGGAGCTCAGGTTGGGTGCGGCGGCTCACACATGTAATCCCAGCACTTTGGGAGGACTAGGTGGATGAATTACGAAGTTAAGAGTTCAAGACCAGCCTGGTCAACATGGTAAAACCCCGTCTCTACTAAAAATACCCAAAATTAGCTGAGCATGGTGACCGGCACCTGTAATCCCAGCTACTCAGGAGGCTGAGGCAGGAGAATCACTTGAACCCAGAGGGCAGAGATTGCAGTGAACCGAGATTGTGCCACTGCACTCCAGCCTGGGCAACAGTGCGAGACTGTCTCAATTAAAAAAAAAAAAAAAAAAAAAAAAAAGCTCAAACGACTCAGTAACAACAACAAAAAACCCACAAAATAATCCAGTTTTAAAAGAGGGCAAAAGATCTAAATAAACATTTCTCAAAAGGCACACAAATGGACAACAGGTATATAAAATACTCAGTAACACTAATCATTAAAGAACTACACAACCAAACCACGATAAGATAGCCTCTCATCCCAGTTAAAATGGCTTCTATCAAAAAGATAGGCAGTAATGAGGCTGGTGATGTGGAGAAAGGGGAACCCTCATATACTGTTGGTGGGAATGTAAATTAGTATAGCCACTATGGAAAACTGTCTGGAGTTCCTCAAAAAGCTAAAAGTAGAACTGCCCATGATTCAGCAGTTCCACTTCTGGGTGTGCATCCAAAATAAAGTTAATGTAGAAAAGAGATATTTGCACTTTCATATTTATTGCAGTGTTATTTATAATAGCCAAAATTTAAAATGAACTTAAGTATCCATCAGTGGATGAATGGATAAGGAAAATGTGGTGTATCTATATGATGGAATAGTGTTTAGACATAAAAAGGAATGAAATTCCATTATTTGTGATAACATGTTAGAACCTAGAGAACATTATGTTAAATCGGGGTTCCCCAACCCCTAGGCTACCAGACTGGTACCAGTTTATGGCCTGTTGGGAACTGGGCTGCACCGCAGGACGTGAGCAGTGGGTACTTGAGCATTACACCTGAGTTCTGTCTCCTGTCAGATCAGCAGCAGCATTAAATTCTCATAGGAGCATGAACCCTATTGTGAACTGTATGTGTAAGGGATCTAGGTTGTGCACTTCTTATGACAGTCTAATGCCTGATGATTTGAGGTAGAACAGTCTTATCCCAAAATAATCCCCCTACCCCTGGTTTGTGAAAAAATTGTGTTCCATGAAACTGGTCCCTGGCGTCAAAAAGGTTGGGGTCCGCTGTGTTAAACGATATAAATCAGGCACAGAAAGACACATACTGCATGATCTTACTCGTGGAATCTAAAAAAGTTGATGTCATACAAGTAGAGAGTAGACTGGTGGTTACCAGAGGCCAGGAAGGGTAGGGGATTGTAGGGGGTGAAGAGAGGTTGATTAATGGGTACAAATACTCACAGTTACAAGATACAAGCTAGAAGATATAAGATCTAGTGTTTGATAGGTCAGTAGGATGACTAGTTTGCAATAATTGATTATATATTTTTACACAACTAGAACATAATTCTAATGTTTCTAGCATAAAGAAAAGACAAATGTTTAAGGTGATGGATATCCCAATTATATTGATATGATCTTTACAGATTTTATGAAGGTATTAAATTATCACAGGTGAACCCCCCAAAATATGTATATCTATTATCAATTTTTTTTTAATGTAAGAAAATTATAAATAGGACAAAAAGTAATCTACTTGTGGTTAATATTGTACCATGTCACATAAAACGTAGAAACCTTATATTGTAGGTGTCTTCAGCCTCCTATCCCTGCTGTCCTTTTGTTACACACATATTAACTCTACATTCATTCACACACATTGAAAACCTCATCAGGCAATATTGCAGTATCTGCTTTAAATAGCAGTTAAATAACGGAAGAGGTAAAAATGTGGCCTTCACCTGGGTGCAGTGGCCCATGTGTGGAATCCCAGCACTTTGGGAGGCTGAGGCAGGCAGGTGGCTCGAGTTTGAGACCAGCCTGACCAACATGGTGAAACTCCGTCTGAACTGAAAATACAAAAATTAACTTGGCATGGTGCCGCTCACCTATACTCCCAGCTACTTGGGAGGCTGAGGCAAGAAAATTGCTTGAACCCAGAAGGTGGAGGTTGCAGTGAGCTGAGATCATGGCACTGCACTCCAGCCTGGGCAACAGAGTGAGATCTTGTCTCCAAAAAAAATGTGGCCTTCATATTTATTTTAATATTTACCATTTCTGTTACTCTTCCTTCATTCCTGAAGATCCAGGTTTCCCTTTGGTATCATTTTTTCTTCCACTTGAAGAAATTCCATTAGCATTTTTTATAGATCAGGTGTTCTGACAAGAAATTTTGTTTTCCTTTACCAAAAGTGCTTTTATTTTGCCTTTGTTCCTGGAGGCTACTTTTGCTTAGATGTTGGGTCCAACCTGCAGACCCCGACCCAGCAACGGATGAACAAGTGCACTCAGACACAGATATCCAGTGAAAGAGTGGGCTAGGGGTCTGGGCCACTCACAGACACCGAGGAGGGTGCTATAAGGAGTCAGCAGCTGTGGCCCTCACAAGCTGGCAGTGCAGGCATTTATTCAGTATAGATTTAATGACAAAGGCTTTGAGTCAACACACTTGTGGATAATTAACATGGTTGCCCTCCTTGGAGAGAGCAGTCTTATAGATGATTAAATGCCAGGTTAACTTTTCTGGATCAGTTTCTTTACATCCCCTAGTTATCTAACTTAAGCTTTCAGGCACCAGTTAAGAGAATCTGGCTGCCTTCAGCCAAATCCTATTTTCAGGCTTTTGCAAGACCCTCCGGCCTTCCAAGAAGGTTTGCATTCATATTACAATTTTTCCCACCACCCTGACTGAACAACTACACTTAGGTACAGTATTCCAAGCTGATAGTTTTTTCTTTCAGCATTTTAAACATGTTGTTTCATTGTTTCTAGCCCTCCATGTTTCCTGATGAGAAATCTGCAGTTCTTTAAATCATCATTCTCTGCCTTGTAATTTGTTCTTTAGCTGCTTCCAAGATTTTTTTTTATCTTTGATATTTAGCAGTTTCACAGTAATAGGTTAAGTGTGCTTTTCCTTTAATTTATCTTGTTTTATATTCACTGACATTCTTAAATCTGTAAACTTAAGTATTTGGCCAAATTTAAGTTTTCTGCAGTTGTATTTTTTTATGCCCCAACTTTTTTCTTTTCTCTTTTTTGGACTTCAGTTATATTTATTTGACCTTTTGTTGTTGTCACAGGTTTCTGAGGCTCTGGTCTTTTTTTTTCTCTCTCTTTTTTTTTTTTCCTGAGATGGGGTTTCACTGTATTTCCCAGGCTGGTCTTGAACTCCTGGGCTGAAGTGATCTTTCTGCTTTGGCCTCCCAAAGTGCTGGGATTACAGGTTTGAGCCACCACTCCCAGCCCCTCTGATTATTTTTTTAAAAAATATTTTTTATTCTTCTATTTTTATTCTTCAGATTCGTTAATGTCTTCAAGTTCACTGACTATTCTGTCATATTCATTCTGTTAATGAGTCTAGACAATGTATTTCCAATCTTTTATTTTTCTTCTATAAACTTCTATATTTCTGTTTAATATTTTATAACTTTTATCTCTAGGAGGGTGATTATAACAGCTGCTTTAAAATCTTTCTGGTAATTCTAATATCTGAGTCCCCTTGGGGTGGTGTTTATTGGTTGTCTTTTCCATTGAGAATGTATTATGTTTTTATGGTTCTTCTATGTTGAGTAGTTTGGGGTTGTATCCTGGTCATTTTGAATGTGATGTCACATAACTCTTCGCTCTGTTATAATCCTTTGGAAAATGTTGATGTTTTTTATTTAGTGGGCAGTTAATTTAGGTTCAGGCCTCATGTTTTTTAACTACTCTCCTGTTTTTTGTGAATACAATTTGCAGTCTATCTATTTCTTAAAACTTTGCAATGCTGGTTTGGGTCTATCCTGTGCATGCTTGCTTCAGAGGGTTAGTCTGAGAATTTGTGGGTATGTGAAAAATCAAGGCGTCTCTCCAGCTTTCTCCTCTCTGGGATATCTTCCTCATACTGGTCTTCCTCAGTTCTTTTCTATCATTCTTTTATCCAGAAAGATGGTTAAGTTTTTATTGGACTTTTAGCACCTTTGTTAACTGCATTGCATCTGGGGCCTGCCTCCATGCGTAGCTGTGAGAAGGTTTCCCCAAACCAGGAAACTCACCCCCATGGGTGTTGCTTCTTCAGATTTGACTCCCCTTCATAATCTGTTTGCATTTGCTCACTTTTCAGATTTCATTTGTTTCTGGCACTTTATTCAGTTTATAGCAGTAATTGTTGAGAGATCTGGGCTCTTATGGGGCTTACATGACCATAATAAAACTGGAAATTTCTGTAGTCATTTAAACGTTAATAAATTGAATGATGTCAGAACAAGTCACAGTTCTTTGCCTTAAGTGAAATTTAGTGGGTAGGGAGGAAGGTAGGGAGCTCGAAAGAGCCTTAACTGCAAGTATAAATTTTCTGATTTCTACCATATGTATATGAAAGTATAATCTGGTTTGGGGTCATTAATTTCATCAACTCTTCTGTTTGTATTTTTAAAGCATTTGAAGACACTTCGTCACCCCTGCTTGCTAAGATTTTTATCTTGTACTGTGGAAGCAGATGGCATTCATCTTGTCACTGAGCGAGTACAGCCCCTGGAAGTGGCTTTGGAAACATTGTCTTCTGCTGAGGTCTGTGCTGGGATCTATGACATATTACTGGCTCTTATCTTCCTTCATGACAGAGTAAGTAACCTGTATAATCTGCCCCACAGGCTTTGATGTAGACAGGGGCAGGAGGGATGATGCGTGTGATGATACTTATAAATTATGTTGTATATGGAAATTGTAAGTTAGTGTTACTAGAAAACTTCCTGAAAAAAAAAAATAGCATGTTGGAAGGCATAAGAGGTGCTATAGATAGGGGTTTTATTGAATGGACAACTAGTGCTGTGTCCCCGGACAGTTATTTATAGAATTTTAGTTTATTACAGTCTACCTCTAGTTTTGGATAATTCTTTGCCTAAAAATAGCTACAGCTGGCATGAGTTATTAAAACAAAGAAAAGGTTTACTATCAGTGCTGCCATAGACTAAAGTTCCTATTTCTTTTCAAGAGTTGTGTCCCGTTTTAGATTTTGAAGAAAGAAATGACCATTTCTTAGGAAGAGGCAGAATATATACACCTCTTTTCCTTTCCTATTTGAGTAGTGGGTCCAATTGAGAGGCCGCCTCTTAACACTCTGTGGTGTAACCAGTGTGCTTGGCTCTCTGGTGATGTTTGCTATTACTATAATGTGGTGGTTCCCAGGTTTACTTCTGGTCTGTTTCTTAACAGTATTACTGAGCCACTGTTTCTTAATGATATTTACATTCTGAAGCATTAAAGTCTTTGGCAGTCCGCCAAGATTAAAAAATACCAGTCACAGGTTAGAAACAGTTGGACTTGACTCATCTTCATGTATGTTTTTTAATTTTTTCTATTAGAGACAGATTCTCCAAATATCACGTTGAATTTATAGTCTCTTAAGAGTATGTTTACAAGTTCACATGATAACGAGAATTATTAATGCTTCAATGGGGAGAAATATCTTCTTTATTGACAAAAGTGCATACACATGGTTAAAAAGTGAGTACAGTATGTGGGTGCACATAGGAACAAGTAAGTCCCTCTCCCATCCTTGAATCCAGTGCCCTAATTCCTCTCTTCAAAGGCAATGTTGGTGACTCGTGTATTATTCTAGAGGTGTTCTTTGTGCATATAAAATATCTAGTGTGTATACTTCTCTTGTGCTTTTTCCTCAAATGGATATATAGTATACGTACTATTCTAAACCTTCCTTTAAAAAATATATATATCTTTTGGAGTATTCTCTATAAAAAATATGTACATATTTGATGTATTTGGTAGAATATTTAAAGTGCTCTTTTGGCCAGGCACAGTAGCTCACACCTGTAATCCCAGTACTTTGGGAGGCCGAGGCAAGAGGATTGCTTGAGCCCAGGAGTTCGAGACCAGCCTGGGCAACATGGCAAGACTCCATCTCTACAAAAACATTTGAAAAAATGAGCCAGGCATGGTGGCACATGCCTGTAGTCTCCCTACTCAGGAGGCTGAGGTGGGAGGATTGCTTCAGTCCAGGAGGTTGAGGCTGCAGTCAGCTGTGATCACACCACTGCACACCAGCCTGGGCAACAGAGAACCTGTAATAAATACATACATACATACATTACATACATACATACATATATAACTTTAATTTAACATACTCTTTTGCCTACTGAAACGATTTTTGGTTTGGGGAAAAAAACTTAAATACCTGAATCCTATTCTTGTTTTCTCCCTTCTTCTTACTTATTTGACTGTACTATTTTTATAGTTTTAAAATTGGCTCTTTTGTGGTCTGTGGGATATTTCTGGTGGTCCTTATCATTCCATTTTCCTCTTCTTCAGGCAGAATTTTTTTAAATGCCTACTGACAAGATTACAGGTGAAGTGGATCTGGGTTCGTGATAGAATGTAGGTGAGAAAGAATCTAGAGAAGAAGATTAATAAAATAACCTATGTGAGCAAAGATATATTTTATCTTTAAAGGCATTGGAAGCAAATAATATAGGTCGTAAAGACTTGTAAATTTATGTTAAAGAACATGTGTATCTCTTGACTCTCATAGAAATGGGAGATGACTGTGTGCACTGGTTTTAACGTGTTTATTAACCTGCCACACCAGGCAGGGAGAGATAACAGAAGCCCTTCCATTCCATTTTTCCTTTTATCTAACTTCATTCAATTTGTTGTTTCTTAAAGTCATAGTTCCATTTATTATGCCACACATGGGAAGGCTTGTCATAATTTTTTTGGTGATTAATATTTAGTTTTTTAAAATAAAGATTATGGGAGATGGAGAAAAACATTTTTAAAAATAAATTTCTGTTTCAGATCTTTCAGTGGCACCCTTCCTTTTGTTCTTTTTTTTTCCCAGGGGCACCTAACACACAATAATGTCTGTTTATCATCTGTGTTTGTGAGTGAAGATGGGCACTGGAAGTTAGGAGGAATGGAAACTGTTTGTAAAGTTTCTCAGGCCACGCCAGAGGTAAGCCAGGGGCAGCCCCTACTCCTTACTCGGTTTTTAATAGTGTGATGGTATGTGATTCTTGCCTAGGCACTTTCCATCAGTGTTAGCTTGGTCTTAGATTTGGAGACTTGACTTTTTTGTCAATGCCCTCGTTTATAGACCTGCAGCATTTTGTTCCTCAGAGGCAGGAGGGGCCGTGTATCCTTTCTCCTTATTTTATAGATGGGGAACCTGAGACTGAGAGAGGTAAAATGTTTTGTTCAGATATTTTAGTTAAATGCCCCTCCTCTCTGCCCCATAGTACCCTGTACTTACTTTGATCATACCACTTGATAGTGAAATTATCTTTATGGAACTTGTATTCTATTGGTTGGGCTTCTTAAGGGTGTGAGTCTCTTATCTTTATACCTGTACCTTGAATGGCGCCTGGCATATGCTAGGTATTTGGAAAATGTTCACTAAACAATTGTCCGAGTTGCCTAAATTCATACATGGTATCTTAGTAGCTGGATTTAGGACCTGTGCATCTTAACTCCCAGTGGGCTGTGTTGCTGATTTGATACTCCTTACGCTTTTGTCTGAGAGTTCTGCATGTTTCCCTCCCAGGTTGATGAACCTTTCTGTTTTCTCTTTCATTCTGAACCCACAAAATGGTGTGTTCTTCTCACCATTTTGTATGTTGCTGCTGCACTCACTCTTTCTTAAAGAAAAAAATTTTTTTTAAAGTTTCCATCTTAATATCCCTATGGAAATGGTGCCTCACTGTTGACTTACTGGTTCAGTCTAATTTCTCCTGTTCTGTTTTGTGCTGCCTCCACACTTAACTTGGGCCTTGTCTAACGTGCATCTTCCTGGGTTCTTGCTCAGTTCAAATGCTGCTCTACCAAAAGACGTCTCTCTGTTTATTCTGCCCATATTGATCACTTCTTCCCTGAATTTGCCTTTTGTCTACTTTGTATAATAGCATGTAATCCTTTCTGTGCTATTTATTCCAGATTCTTTGCCATAGCATATAAGGCCCTTCACAATCTTTCTGCAGCCTACCTCCAGCCTCCCTTCAGCCTCATTTACCATTTAGGCTTTTTGGGGATTGGGGGGAATGGGATTTCCCTCTGTTACCCAGGCTGGAGTGCAGTGGTGTGATCTTGGCTCACTGCAACATCTGCCTCTCAGGCTCAAGTAATCCTTCCACCTCAGGCTTCCAAGTAGCTGGGAACACAGTCACATACCACCACGCCTGGTTAATTTTTTGTATTTTTGGTAGAGATGGGGTTTTGCCATGTGGCCCAGGCTGGTCTCAAATTCCTGACCTCAAGTGATCTGCCCACTTGAGCCTCCCAAAGTGCTGGGATTATAGATGTGAGGCACTGCTCCTGCCCTCACTCAAGAGTTCTTGAGCTACAGTCTGGCTACATCTTGTTCCATGAGCTCAACTGTGTTCCCACATATGCCCTCTTCCTTCACACTCTTCAGGCCATTCTGTTGCTGGAATGCCTTTCTTCCCCTTGGCTTCTGGAAAATGTAAACTCATCTAAGATATGGCTTCAATCTCCTTTCTGTGACTCCTTCCCCTAGGCATTCCCCTACCCAACAAAATTAGTCACCCCGGTGCTTCCAGGGCACTCAGCATGTTTATTGAGATTTAGTTTACATTCTAGATTGTGAGCACCTGGTTGGGGGCAGAAACTTTATTGCATTCATCTTGTATTCCTACTGCCCTAAATGATGTTCAGGACATGTAAGATCTTCAAAAATAATTTTTGAAACTAGCAAATTAACATGCTTATTCTGTGGATGTTGGTTTTTTCTCAACTTTCTAATCTTGTGTGGTAGCAAGACTTAGGATTCATTTGATATAGTGAGATTAATGACAGATTTGTTCTGTGCTAGAAAAGCCTTCTTATTGTTAATATCTAAGCAGGAAGAGAAAGAAGTGTTCTAATTTCCATATAAGGAAATCAGATGCACAGATGCCTCTGAATAGCAGAGCATGTCTGTCACACCAAATGAAGGGGAGAGGAAAAGGAACTACCATTTATTACTGTGCCTTGTGCTGTGCCAGGTACTGTATTTGCACTTTTAAAATTAGGAGCATTTTAAATTTGTATATCTAATGTGTGACATTGATTTGAAAGTTTAATCGCTGCTGTTTGCATTGCTCATAGCTTATGTAATATGATGTAAGAGATTAGTTCACCCAACATACGTATGAATCATTTTCTTTATTTCTCTGTCTAGTTTCTGAGGAGTATTCAGTCAGTAAGAGACCCAGCATCTATCCCTCCTGAAGAGATGGTAAGATGATATACTTCACATGTAATGAAGGTGCCTTTGTGTAACTGAATATGAAAATTTTAAAAACTTTCCTCTGCTTATTCCTTCCTTTACTGAGTTATAAATGCCTCCTAATTCCTCTGGCCTTAAAACCTTCTAAGATTAATCTTATCACCACAGCCAGGGAGCCAGCTTAAATTTTTTTTGTCACATAAGCACCTATGATGTTGTTTAGAGATAGAGATACCTCAGTGTGAACAGAGTGTTATACCCATTTCACGATAAGTAGTTGTGTTAGTCTGTTTTCATGCTGCTGATAAAGACATATCCAAGACTGGGCAATTTACAAAAGAAAGAGGTTTATTGGACTTACAGTTCCATGTGGCTGGGGAGGCCTCACAATCATGGTGGAAGGTGAAAGGTACATCTCACATGGTGATAGACAAGAGAAGAGAGCTTGTGCAGAGAAACTCCCTTTTTTAAAACCATCAGATCTCATGAGACTCATTCACTATTACCAGAACAGAGCAGGAGAGACCAATCTCCATAATTCAGTCACCTCCACCAGGTTCCTCTCCACAACACGTGGGAATTGTGGGAGTTATAATTCAAGATGAGAGTCACAGGCAAACCATATCATCCCCACCCCGGCCCCTCCCAAATCTTATGTACTCACATTTCAAAACCAATCATGTCTTCCCAACAGTCCCCCAAAGTTTCCACTCATTTTAACATTAACTCAAAAGTCCACAGTCCAGTGTCTCATCTGAGACAAGGTAAGTCCCCTCCACCTATGAGTTTGTAAAATAAAAAGCAAGTTAGGTACTTCCTAGATAAAATGGCAATACGGTACAAGCATTGGGTAAATACAGCGGTTCCAAATGGGAGAAATTGGCCCAAAAAAAGGGCTACAGGCCCCATGCAAGTCTGAAATCCAGTGGGGCAGTCAAATCTTAAAGCTCCAAAATGATCTCCTTTGACTCCATGTCTTGAATCCTGAACATGCTTATGCAAGAGGTGGGTTGCCATGGTCTTGGGCAGCCCTGCCCCTGTGGCTCTGCAGGGTACAGTCTCCCTCCTGGCTGCTTTCACAGGCTGGTGTTGAAGTGTCTGCAGCTTTTTCAGGCACATTGTACATGCTGTCAATGGATCTCCCATTCTGGGATCTGGACCTGATGGCCCTCTTCTCACAGATCCACTAGGCAGCGCCCCAGTAGGGACTCAGTGTCAGGGCTCCGGCCTCACATTCCCTTTCACACTGCCCTAGCAGAGGCTGTCCATGGGGACCCTGCCCCTGCAACAAACTTCTTCCTGGGCATCCAGGCATTTCCATACATCTTCTGAAATTTAGGTGGAGGTTCCCAAACCCCAATTCTTGACTTCTGTGCATGTGCAGGCTAAGTACCACATGGAAGCTGCCAAGGGTTGGGGCTTGTACCCACTGAAGCCACATCCTGAGCTCTACATTGGCCCCATTCAACCGCAGCTGGAGCAGCAGAGATGCAGGGCACCAAGTCCCTAGACTGCACACAACACAGGGACCCTGGGCCTGTCCCTGGCCCATGAAATTACTTTTTCCTCCTAGGCCTCTGGGCCTGTGGTGGGAGCGGCTGCCGTGAAGACCTCTGGCATGCCCTGGAGACATTTTCCCCATTGTCTTGGGGATTAACATTTGGCTCCTCATTACTTATGCAAACTTCTGCAGCCAGTTTGGATTTCATCTGAGATTTTCTTTTCTATTGCATTGTCAGGCTGCAAACTTTCCAAACTTTTATGCTGTTTTCCTTTGATAACAGAATGCTTTTAATAGCACCCAAGTCACCTCTTGAATGCTTTGCTGCTTAGAAGTTTCTTCCACCAGATACCCTAAATCATATCTCTCAAGTTCAAAGTTCCACAGTTCTCCAGGGCAGGAGCAAAATGCCACCAGCCTCTGCTAAAACATAGCAAGAGTCACCTTTGCTCCACTTTACAAGTTCCTCATCTCCATCTGAGACCACCTCAGTTTGGACCTTATTGTTCATGTCAGTAGCAGCATTTTTGTCAAAGCCATTCAGCAAGTCTCTAGGAAGTTCCAAACTTTCCCACATTTTCCTACCTTCTTCTGAACCCTCCAAACTGTTCCACCCTCTGCCTTTACCCAGTTCCAAAGTTGCTTCCACATTTTCAGGTATCTTTTCAGCAATGCCCCACTCTACTGGTACCAATTTAATTGTATTCTGTTTTCATGCTGCTGATAAAGACATACCCAAGACTGGGCAATTTACAAAAGAAAGAGGTTTATTAGACTTACAGTTTCACAGTCATAGCAGAAGGCAAAAGGCATTCTCACATAGCAGCAGACAGGAGAAGCAAGCTTGTGCAGGGAAACTCCCCTTTTTAAAACCACCAGATCTTGTGAGGCTCATTCACTGTCATGAGAATGTGGCAGAAAGACCTGCCCCCATAGTTCAGTCACCTCCCACCAGTTCTTCCCAGGATATATGGGAATTGTGGGAGTTACAATTCAAGATGAGACTTGGATGGTGACATAGCCATACCATATCAGTAGTTGTACTTTGCAGGAATCCATAATAATTGTGGAAGCAGCAACCCTTGTCCTTTCTGGTGTGTCACCAAAACCATTCGTCTATCTCTAGTTGCCCATTAGTTAGGATTTCAAGATGCATAGAAGAATGATTATTAACATTAGAGTGCTGGCAAAGAAAGATTCAGTTTACCAATAAATTCAGAAGCAGATGCTCCCTCTATGAATGTGTTCTTACAACCACTATAAATATAAACATTAATCCCCAAAGTTATATTTAGTGTGCTTTACAGGAAATATGAAACCCACTATAAACTTAAGTATCTTAAGACCTAAGATTTGAAATACATCAGATATATCCACATCAGTATTATGTATGTATACTAGTGTTTTTAAAATTGGTGATTTGTGGGTTTTAAGTCAATTTAGGGGGTCCTGACCAACATTTAAAAAAAATAGAATAAAAGAAAATGTCATTGGGCATCTTAGATAGTAAGGCTAAGCATTGTTTTATGAAACTTATGTTTCCATTATGTATGCATTTACGCATGTGTGTGTTTACTGGTTCATGATCAGAGACACATTTTTTACCATGGATTGCAGTGAAAATGCAGTGGCTTTTCAAAAGCCACTGACATGTGCCATACTCTGTCCTTTCTAAAAATTTTTGCCCATTTTAATGTTTTAAAATGTTTGACAAATTCTATTCACTAATAGTGTTAAGAATCTATAAATTCATGTGTGGTATTCTGAAGTTAGATTTGAATATAATACAAACATGGGAGAAGGTGCTTCAGAGAAAACTAGAAATAGCTTATAAGGCAGATCCTCTAGTTTTAATCGTCTTTACTAATTTTAGTCTCCAGAATTCACAACTCTCCCAGAGTGTCATGGACATGCCCGGGATGCCTTTTCATTTGGAATATTGGTGGAAAGTTTGCTCACAATCTTAAATAAACAGGGTGAGTTGGAGTTATACTACTGCATCTATAGAATAAGTCGGAAAGTCATCCACGGCCTATTCTGTGTGGAATTCTAAGGACTACAGTCTTTGATCATAGTAAGGAATGTGTTGCTTACCAAGTAACTTTTTAGGGCAGATATTAAGAGCATTAAGGAAAGAAGCCTTGGTTTTCATTAGTTTGCATGGTGAAAAGAATTTAAGTAGGAAGCACTTTGAACTATGGCTGTCAGTATCATGTGTGATTATCTTATTTATTGGTAATAGTACTTAAACGGTCTAAATGTAGACTCTGTTCCTTATTGACCCAGCCAATAAGTACGCAACTATCATTAATGATTTAAATGTAATAATCTGAATGGGGTAAAATTCAAAATTTTTTGTTAAATTGGACTTAACATTTCTTTCTATTCTTTCAAAGCTTATTTGATTTATTTTCTTATTACTGTAATTTACTCTTCTCTTTTTTATTTTACTGCCTCTTAAAGCTCAGGCTACTAAAGACATTGTTTTCTTTTCTCTTCTATGTTCTCTAACTACATGCTTGGCAGCCAGCTTCACTCTCCTGTGCCCACTTTGGGACTTTAATTTTCCACTCATTAAGTTTGGCACTTGAGGCATGTGTCACAGTAGGCCCCTTACTGGTCTACATCTCCCGTGGCTCAAGCTTTGTGCCAGTTCTAACGCAGTTTGTTCTGCCAGGCTTATGCGGTGTTCTGATGTTTATAAGTACCATTCAGCTGTCAGCTCTAAATTGTCACATCCTAAATATTTTGAGAATTAAACCCTAAGGCAGTCATTGTGTATAATGAACTAACTATTCTATGTATCTAGGATGGTAGCAATTATTTACTATCCTTGGAAGAATTGTGAACTTAATCATTCATATAACTGTGTTCTGTGGATGAGAAACCCCTGTTGAGAAAGGCCCTCCAACCTACCACTGTTAACCCTTCTTCTTTGGGCCTGAGCTGGGTTAAACGGATAATCAGGAAATGAGGGTATAAAAGGGAATGGCACCTGCGGTGGGGTTTGACGGTGGTGGCACAACATTTTACATCTGCCAAGGAGTTTGGCCTAAGGCAAGCAGGAAGCTATTTAGCAACAGCCAGGGCTTTGTTTGTTTGGGCTTTTACAGGTTGGTTTTTGCTCTCGGCAGTCTCCAGCTATAGAGGTCCTGAAAAGAGGGAGAAGGCATTGGAAACTAACTGTAGCTCTGGATTTCAGTTTCAGCGGATGTTCTCTCCAGCTTTCAACAGACCTTGCACTCAACTTTGCTGAATCCCATTCCAAAATGTCGGCCAGCGCTCTGCACTTTACTATCCCATGACTTCTTCAGGTGAGGGCATCTGGTGTGGTGACACTGGCTGTTTCCCACTGCTGCTTGCTCTCATATCTTGGATAAGTGCCAGTGGGGAGATTTTGGAGGACCAAATGATGCAATTTCTGTTGTTGTTAATTATTAGGAGAGATTGAATCATGTCCACAGGAGAAAATAGGGGAAGAAATTGGGTTGTCAGTTTGCTATTACAGACAGGAAGTTTTGGCAATCCTTGATTGTCTTCAAGGCTTGGATGTAGAAATTGTAGCAAGATTTATTAAGGCTTCTAATACTGAAGAAGCTGTTAGACACACTGGTTTACAGTTGTAAGTTAATTGAAAAAGTTATTAAACTTAGCCTTTTCTTTCTGCTGCCATTATATTATTGATATGAGTTTATTAATCATTTTTTCTCATGGGGATGGGAAATTAGTTCATTTTCTTTGTCTAGTAATATGTGATGGAAGAGCAAAGAAGTCAGTTTAGAGGGAAGGGCAGAATATAACTTAATACTTTATTAGATTCAGAGATGTTTCTGAACCCCTCTTTAAGGTTAGTTTTAATTATGTGTCCTTCATTTTTTTATTTCCATGACTGCAGAACTTCTGCACAGGTTAGTTCCATATTCGTGACTTTTATTAGCAAAGCCAATCTTATGTTAGTTTTAAAACTACCCTTATGTGTTTGCATTTAGAGCCTGGGAAAAACCAGAGCAAAGGGAAGGCTAATATTCCTAAGTGGGGAAAATTACCTCTAGTATAGAACTAGGGGCAGGTGGGGGAAGGGTAATATTGAATAAGTAGCATTTGTAGTTACTGGGATTATATTGTCATTTATATTTCAAAGAAACTATTAAAAACTTGTCTTTTTTGAGGAATTTTTAAAATTTTTTTTTTTTTTTTTTTTTGAGACGGAGTTTTGCTCTTGTTGCCCAGGCTGGGGTGCAATAGTGCAGTGTCGGCTCACTACAACCTCCGCCTCCCAGGTTCAAGCAATTCTCTTGCCTCAGCTTCCTGAGTAGCTGGGAACAGACATGTGACACCATGCCTGGCTAATTTTTTATATTTTTAGTAGAGATGAGTTTTCTCCATGTTAGGCTGATCTTGAACTCCTGACCTCAGGTGATACACCCACTTTGGCACAGCCTTTGGCCACCGCACCCAGGCAAAAATTTGTGTTTTTAATTGACATGTAAAAATTTTATATATTTACTATTATGAGAGTCTTTCCAGGGTATTTCTGTGCCCTTTTGGATGATTCTTAGAAATATTTTATTTTCCTTGATGAAAGTCTCTACCAAGAACAATCCTTTATGGTAACTAGATTCTCTCATCACTGTGTGTAAAATGAGTTATTTATTAAGAATTGTATTGTAAATTGAGAGGGGAGAAGAAAGCTAAAACCACACAGACCTCACCTGCCAAAATCCCGCTGTTAATGTGAGGAGAAAACCCAGCAAAGAGACAACAGAAGAAGCCAAGATCAGCATCTGTTACAGAAGCAGCTGAACCAGTTTGATTGATTAGATTTCAGTTAAGACGTCTTTGCTGCTGAACCAAGGGGAAGTGGAAGATAAGTATAAACATAAGATGTGGAGACCTAGGTGGTATCTCTGCTTCTGCTTATTGGGCCTCTGAATAGGCTGTCCAGCTTGTATGCAGGAGCATCTGGGGTCAACAGTCTCATATACGGTAGGATGTGAGCTGAGCAGTGCACAGCCTTTGGAATTCTCTGGCAGCCCTGTAGGCTGCTCCACTCACACTTATCCCTGCCTGGCTGAAAGAATGAGCAAGTAACTTACAGCAGGAAAAATGAGATGATTCCTGCATGGAAATTCCACTTTCTACAACTCTTTAATAGTTTTAATTTCATCAAAGGAGGCCTGAGAGTCACTAGTATTTTGTAATGGCAATGTCATTTCTCCTAGGATATTTCATTTAACAACATCCTATTACAACCAACAATTTGGAGGATTTTTTCTGACTTTTTAAACCATAAAGCATGTTAGCATATGTGTGTTTAAGCTTGTATCCTCTTCACAGATCTCTTTGATATTAAAATACTAGATTGCTCTGTAGAGGCTTGTTCCATAGTATTTGTCTCATGCGCTATTTAGTTGTAATAGAATCTTTTAAATGGCAAAGGAGAATGTTTCTTTGTTGAAAATTATATTGATGTAGTCTGTGGTTATGACCTCAACATTTAACCTGCCTTCTCTAATCTGTTCTGCTGAATTCCTTCTCCTTTTGGCATTTAGAAATGATTTTCTGGAAGTTGTGAATTTCTTGAAAAGTTTAACATTGAAGAGTGAAGAGGAAAAAACGGAATTCTTTAAGTAAGTACAGAAAGTTAAGAACTTAAATTCAATAACTTGGATTAAGTCCATGTAATCATTTTAGGTATTCTAGAGAAGATGAGTCAGACATTTCACATTTACTGAACACTTCCTGTGTGTCAGGCTTTCTCCTAGGCCCTGCGATAGATATTTCTGGTGAAGAAAACAGGTACCCAGACTGATAATCCTTACACAGAGGTGGGGGTACAGTAGTGGAGCTTTTGGAAGGAGTCCTGGAAACAGAGGGCAGGAGAAGGTCGTTAAAGAAAAGGTATTCTAGGCAGAGGGGCAACATGAACAAATGCACAAAGAAAAGACCTAGTATGACTTGTGCAGGAACTGGCAAGAAGTTGAGTCCTGCTGGAGGATAAATTTCCAAACAAGGACAGGTAGGAGGTAGCTCTTGCATGTGGAAGTGAGGAGTGCTGACATTATTTGTAAATATGAGACTTCAGGCATTGAAGCCATCAAAGAGGTGGAAGCCAGGCTGGGAAACAGATTAATGTCCTTATAGGTGGATCACTTTGTTCTCTATTGAGTGGGGAGGCTTAACTCATATAAGACTTAGATTAGTTAGTAGACTGTGGTAGTCTAAGGCAGTAGATGTGAAGCCACACATAAAGGCATTAATGGCTCCAATGAAGAAGACATTAAGATAAAGATTTAAAAGATAAAGCTGAGAAGCCTTAGTGATTATCACCAAATGAAATAGAGAATCCTGGAGGAGAGGACCTAATATACAGGGAAAATTACGACTTCAGTGTTGGATGTGTTGGTTCACTGAAGAAGCAAATGCAGTCAAAGAAGGATTTTTTTAAGGGTGGAAGACAGACGAGCATATTAATAGACGAAGGAATGGGGCTAGCAGAAGAATAGAGGGAGCAGTTGAAGCTGCAATCAAGTTGGGGGAACTGTTGGTGCATTGTCCTGGAAGAAAGGAATGCTGGGGCAGTGGTAGGACAGGGGTAGTCTTAAATAAGAGGAAGCCCTTGGATCCTTGATAACCAGAAGGGAGGTGGGAATGAGTATCGATGTAAACCTGTTTTGCTGATAGCAGTGTGGGGGTTTGAAGGTGATAATGCATGTCACTTGTTTCCTAATAAAGTAGGAGGCAAGGATATCTGCTAAGGGTGATTGTATAATAGAGTAATATTACCATTAATACCTAATATCTGTATTTCTTAACAAAGTGCTTTTATATATGTTTTAATTTATGAGGTTAGTAACAAAAGCCTGTATTTTGTTAGTATGGAAACTTTCTGTATCATTTAAATTTGAGAAAGCATCTTAGACTGTCTAGAAAGCCTGTCTTGATTGGGTAAAAAGGAGGGCACTTTTGCTATTAGTAAGGGGATAATTTGTTGGAATCATTTCCTGGTGTGGATTGGAGGTGTGCTGACTAGCTGGCTTTGTCTCACACTTTCTACATTTTTTTTTTGAGAGGGAATCTCACTTTGTCACCCAGGCTAGAATGCAATGGCATGATCTCAGCTCACTGCACCCTCTGCCTCCCAGGTTCAAGTAATTGAACCTCAGTCTGCCATGCCTCAGCCCCCTAAGTAGCTGGGATTACAGGTGTCTGCCACCATATCCGGCTAATTTTTGTGCTTTTAGTAGAGAGAGAGTTTCGCCATGTTGGCCAGGCTGGTCTCAAACTCCTGACCTTAAGTAACCCACCTGCGTCAGCCGCACAGAGTGCTGGGATTACAGGCGTGAGCCACTACACCTGGCCATGCATTTTTCTTAAGTACTTGGGGACCAATGTGTTTATCTTCCCTATCTCCATTTCAAAATGTATTACCTTGATAGAAGTGAGAGAGAGGCTGTGTGGGGGCTAAACTGTAAAAGTAAGCTGATACAGTGTCACGACCAGTTTCCTGGGCTTTCCTTTTTTGTCCTCAGATTTCTGCTGGACAGAGTCAGCTGCTTGTCAGAGGAATTGATAGCTTCAAGGTTGGTGCCTCTTCTGCTTAATCAGTTGGTGTTTGCAGAGCCAGTGGCTGTTAAGAGTTTTCTTCCTCATCTGCTTGGCCCCAAAAAAGGTGAATTCTTTTTCAAAGTATTATTGCTAATTAAGGAGTTTGGTGATTATTAGTCCATATTTGAGCAGGATGAGATTACTGTGTGGTGTAGTTAATGTTGGTTCTAAAAATGGAGAACAATTATTGGCCCCTGATGTGATAACTGCAATTCAAACCTGGGTACCAGAGTCCCCAGGATAAATATGAAGCATCTTCCTAGAGAGTCCAGTTTACTATAGTAAGTTATTACATCTGACTAGAATCTGAAATATACACATGAAGTTCTAAAGTAAGGCATGCATCTTCAAATAACTTTTACATTTACCATGAATAATTTAGGCCTGTGCCCCCTAACTTACCAAGAGCAACCCATTTATTTTCTGTTTTCAGTGAAAAGCACAGAGATCATTTTACTTCTTGGGGCTTCAGGTTTTTTTCTGAATGTGAAATAAGGTTATTGCTTTGGAATGTTACAATTTTATAGGAATATAGACGGTAACACAACAGATTAGAGCATATAGTATCAATATAACACTAGAATTTTAAGTTACATAGAATCCTGCTTTCAGGATTTGTTTTCTAAAAGGGATCTTGTCCAACAAAGCATTGTTACAGTTTAGAATTTCCTTGTATCTCTATTTTGATATCATTCCCTTTTGCCATGAGTTTTTCTTTATAGCTTTTTTATCCTATTCCTCAGTAGGTCTTAAACAGGGGTGTGCCTCTGAATCACCTGTGCTGCTTTTTAAAAATTTGTTTGCCTGATCCACTGGTTCTAGAACAGAGCCAGGATATAGGTATACATATTTTTTAACAGCCTGATAACCACTACCATAAATACTGGAAAGCGGACTGTCCAGCATCAAAATCCCACTGTAGCATTTAACACCTGGATTTGCAAGTAAAACTATAACAACAGCATCAATGTGTCACAAATCTAGTGTATGAAAATCCTGATTAAACATAAATTTATAAGTTACTGACTCAGAATACTATTAAAATACAAGCTTTGTTGTACACTAAGTGTGATCTCTAGTATTTCAAAAACTCTTCAAGATAGAGTATACTTAACATAATTAAGCCTTAAGTAATTTTGGGTCAAGAAAATAACTTTGGTTTGGAGCATTTGAATTTAGAAGAGTACTTAGAATATGTGTAGTTTTGGGCTCAGTGTATGAATTATGCTTAATACTCTTTTCACTGAAATGAAAATTTGTTTTTTCATCTGTAACCTTTGATTTTTCGGGTAGATCACGCTCAGGGAGAAACTCCTTGCTTGCTCTCACCAGCCCTGTTCCAGTCACGGGTGATCCCCGTGCTTCTCCAGTTGTTCGAAGTTCACGAAGAGCATGTGCGGATGGTGCTGCTGTCTCACATTGAGGCCTATGTGGAGCACTTCACTCAGGAGCAGCTGAAGAAAGTCATCTTGCCACAGGTCAGAGGCCAAGTTTGTGGTGGGGTAGACACAGAACCTGAGGAAAGAGTGCTGAAAGGAAGGAGAGGTTTAGAGGTATTCAGATCATAGCTTAGAAAGCCCTGAGGCAGCAGTTCAGTGTAAAAGCCTGTGGAATACAAAGGCCTGAAATTGATTAAACCATCATATTTGGTCTTAACCTGGGAGAAACTATAATTGTTTGTTAGTTTTGGGGGGGGGGGGAATAAATAAGAATAATGTATGGAGCACTTTGTGAGCATAAAATGTAATCCATAAATATTATAAAAAAATGAGAACAGAGAGGACCATGAGATGATTAGTATCAGTGGCTTTCAGCCTATTGTTAACCACTAGGGAACCTTGTTATGATTTGCCTACCAAAGGGTTTCAAGTTTGTATTAGTTTCTTAGGTGCCATAACAAATTATCACAAACTGCATAGCCTAAAGCAATAGAAATTTATTCTTAGTTCTGGAGGCCAGAATTCTAAAACCAGGTTGTCACCAGGACCTGCTTCCTCTGAAAGCTGTAGGATATGAAAGGGACTCCTCCTTACAAGCTTCGCGTAGCTCCCAGCAGTCCTTGGTATTTCTTGGCTTGTGGCTGTATTATTCTAGTCTCTGCCTTTGTTGTCACATGACCTTCTTACCTCCTTGTCTGTCTTTACATGGCCTTCTTAGAAAGACACCATTGAATTTATCGCCTACCTTTACCCAGTATGACCTCATCTAAAGGTCATATTCTGCATGGACATACTTTTGGAGGGATACTGTTCAACCTAGTTTGGGTTTAAAAAAAATTTATTTTAAAAGATTCTAATCACATGGTATCTTTCTTTTTTTTTTTTTTTTTTTTTGAAAGGAAGAAAAAGAATATTAAAAAAAAAAAAAAGAAAAAGAATAAAGGAAAGGAAGAAAGAGGAAGAGGGAGAGAGAACAGGGGTGTTGCTTTATTGCCCGGGCTAGAATGCAGTCTAAAACTGGGTATGCCTGTAATTGTGTTTAATAATAGAGACATTAAAAAAAAAATGAGGGAAGAAAATAATTAACAAGCAGCCAACCAATATTTCATTTAAACCTGTAAATACGTGTGATGTAGTACTAATAAGAGTGTATATTTTGTGTATTTAAAGTGGAGAGTTCTATGAATGTTAATTAAGTCTACTTGTTCCAGATCTGAGTTCAAGTCCTGGATATTGATGTTAACATTCTGTCTCATTGATCTATCTAATATTGATGTTAAAGTCTCCCGCTATTATTGTGTAAGGGTCCAAGTCTCTTTGTAAGTCTTATATATCTGGGTATTTCTGTATTGGGTGCATATATGTTTAGGATCTTTAGCTCTTCTTGTTACATTGATCCTTTTATCTTTATGTAATATCTTTCTTTGCTTCTTTTGATCTTTGTTGCTTTGAAATCTATTTTATCAGCAAAAATTGCAGCTCCTGCTTTCTATATTTATTTTAGCTCTCCATTTGGTTGGTAAATTTTTCACCATCCCTTTGTTTTGAGTCTTTATGTATCCTTGCATGTGAGATGGATCTGGATGTAGCATACCAATGGGTCTTGGCTTTTTTTGCCTGTCTGTGTCTTTGGATTGGGGGATTTAGTCGATTTAAATTTAGAATTAATAACAATATATTTGTGTTTGATACTGTCATTTAATGTTAGCTGGCTGTTTTGCCCATTAGTTGATGCAATTTCTTAATTATGTTGATGTTCTTTATTTTTTTGGTATTTTTTAGAAAGGCTGATACTGGTTGTTCCTTTCTATTTGTAGTGGTTCTTTCAGAAGCTCTTGTAAAGCAGGCCTGGTGGTGATGAAATCTCTGAGTGCTTGCTTGTTCACAAAAAATTTTATTTCTCCTTCGCTTATGAAGCTTAGTTTGGCTGGATGTAAAATTCTGGGTTGAAAGTTTTTTTCTTTAAGGATGTTGAATATTGGCCCCCACTCTCTTCTGGCTTGTAGGGTTTCTACTGAGAGATCTGCTGTGAGTCTGGTATCTTTCAAATAATTTGTTTTCCTGTGAGATTAACATTTTCCCTGCTTTCAAGGAGCTAATAAGTGGGACATGTTTCAGTCATCTCATAAACTACCTCAAAACTTAGTGCCTTAAAACAACAATCATTAACTCTCATGATTTTTTGGATTGACTGGACTCAGCTGGAGGTTCTGTCCCACATGTCAGCTGAGGCTTCAGTCATCTGGGGCCCGACAAGATCTGACACATCCAAAATGGCTCCTTGGTACCTTGGAAGGGGTGGCTGAGAAGCTGGGCCTTTGTCTCCATGAACTCTCAGGAAGCGTAGGGGCTTCTATCCCCCCATGTGACATTTCCACATGATTTCTCTAGCAAGGTAGGTGGACTTCTTAAATGGCTGGTCAGGGCTTAAAAAAAAAAGTCGTGGGGAGGGGAGTGAGGGAAGAAGCCTTCTTAAAGTGTAGGTTGGGAACTGACAGTCATTTTTGCCTCATTCTCTCAGAGTTGCAAAAGTCAGACCAGGTTCACTGGGGGATGGGTTTACTCAAGGGCATGGATACTGGAAGTGTGATTCACTGGGGGTGACTTTAAGGTCACTATGTTGTACTGACTGCAACATAGCACTTTGTATTTACACCTCCAGCAGTAACTGTTACCCTGTGTATAGTTGTGTCTTGAAATTTAGAAGGGGAATGAAACACTCTAACTCTGAAATGGAGGTGTCATTATGGGTTCCAGAATTGAACTGAGGTCAAAGAAAGAGTAAATGTTGAGCATGTGGAAGACAATGAAAACTCTCATTACTTAGGAAACTATTTCCCCTAAAGAAGAAGGGGCCAGTTTGTGTGTGCTAGAAAGTTCACTTTGGTAGCAGTGTGGAAGAGAGGCCACAGAAAGGGAGATAAGCTATGAAGCTGTTAGAATAGTTTAAGAGATGACAAAGTCTGGGGAAAATGTGACAGTGGTTATAGGAGAGGGACACAGAAGGGGTGGTACTCAGTTTCTCACTAGATGGAAGAGGTGTTGAGGATGACAGATTTTTGGCTTGGGTGGATTGCTGTTTTATGATCATATTCAGTGGGTAGAACTCTAATCATATGCAAAAGAAACATGCCTTAGTTTACTTGTACAGAAAGCACCTGATCTGTTAGCACTGGTTCTAAAAATTATCTTTTGAGTCCTGTTTGAAACCTTTGATCTTACTATATAAATGAGGAAACTAGGCCAGAAGAATAAAAAGATCAATTGGTCAAGTCACATTGAGAATTCTTAGCAGAGCTAAGACCAAAACTCAAGATTCCTGATACCTATCACACCCTGCTGCTTCCACTAGGCAGGCCAGTTACTATGGCCTTGTGTCTGGCTGGTGCGGATGCTTTGAAGGTCATCTCCTTCCTTATATGCAGAGCAGTTTTTGCCTGGTATCTCCATGTGACTGTCTTCTAAGGTGCTTTTGGTTGCAAGTAACTGAAACTCATTTTAAAACAGCCAAAGTGAAAAAAAATTAATGAAAGAAGTTAACTACAATAAAAAGAAATCGAGAGCGGGGGGTGTCTCTTTTTTTTTTTTTTTTTTTTTTTTTTTTTTTTTCCATTTTTTTCTGTCTGCATCTGTTTGACTTTTGACTCTGAAGATCAGCTTTCCTTGTTTTGGTGTGCACATGGCCAAACATGATTGTCCCATAACTTCCAAGTTTTCTGTCCTCATCAAAAAAAATTCTCACTGTGTTGCCCAAGCTAGAGTGCAGTGGCTCTTCATAGGCATGATCCCACTACCGATCAGCACAGGAGCTTTGACCTGCTCCATTTCTGACCTGGGCTGGTTCACCTCTCTTTAGGCAACCTGGTGGTCCCCAGCTTCTGGCGTCACCATATTGATGCTGAACTTAGTGTAGACACCCAATCGGCATAGCACACCACAGCGCGTAACTCTGGGCTCAAATGATCCACCTGCCTTCTGAGCAGTGCTACAGGCATGTGTCACTCTGCCTGGCCTACTGTCCTCACTTTCAGCAAACCAACATAAACTGGAAATAAAAATTATAGTTTATATTACTGGACAAGAGATCATGGGCTCACTTTGGGGGACAGGTGTTACATGCATCAATTACAAAGAAAATTTTAAGGTTTTACCCTTAAAAAGAGCTGAAAAGAGGAGCATGGAAGGGAACATAACTGTTAGTGCCCTAGATGAGTTCTGAGTACGCTCTGCAAAACACTACCAGTACGTGAACTGTTTATTACAGTTGTGTGATGAGTACAGATATGAAGACTTAACATTTAAAATCATTTGAAGCAATGTGACAGAGTAAATTTATATTTCCAACATTTGGTTTTTTAATTTTGTTTCGACTGCATATATATTTTTAAAAAATATATTAAGCCCATGATGGATTGGGAGGGGAAGATATTGGTCTTTTTACCACAGGTAGTTTGAGAGCCACTGACCTGGAACACATATCTAAGGTAAGTAATGTAGTTTAACTGAATAAGCACAATCTGTTTGCATCCCAGTTGCTCATTTACAGGGGAAGAAAGAGATAGGCATTGTGGTTGTCAACTCTTATTACCTTCTTTGCTCCTAGGTTTTGCTGGGCCTACGTGATACTAGTGATTCCATTGTGGCAATTACTCTTCATAGCCTAGCAGTGCTGGTCTCTCTACTTGGACCAGAGGTGGTTGTGGGAGGAGAACGAACCAAGATCTTCAAACGCACTGCCCCAAGTTTTACGAAAAATATTGACCTTTCTCTAGAAGGTAAGAATTATTAAAAGGTCTAGCTTTTTGTGTATGTGTGTTCTTTGTAGATTTTTAATATTATATAATTAATGTAGGAGGGTCATATTCAAATGATACAAAGAAGTATAAATAAGTTCATTTCCCTTTCTAAACTTCTAGGGGAGTATAACTGATTTTCAGTGGGAATCCTTTCATTCTTTTAAGCTTGCAGAAAGACACCAATGTATGTTTACACATGCATTGCATGTGTAGTCATGTACCACATAAAGATGCTTTGCTCAACAAAGGATCTCATAAATGACAGACTGTCTATACCATGGTGGTCCTGTGACATTATAATGGAGCTGAAAAATTGCTATTGGCAGCTGATGATGTAGCTGTAGTGGAATGCATTAGTCATGTGTTTGTGGCAATGTTGGTGTAAATAAACCTAGTATGCCACCAGTCATATAAAAGTATAGTGCATACAATTGTGTACAGTATATAATACTTAGTAATGATAAACGACTATGTAACTGGTTTATATATTTACTATACTTTTAATCATTCATGTACTCCTACTTACAAAAAAAAAAAGTTAGTGAAATAGCCTCAAGGAGGTCCTTCAGGAGGTATTCCAGAAAGCATTGTTATCAGTGGACATGACAGCTTCCTGCAGACCTTCCAGTGGAATAAGCTGTGGAGGGCAAAGACAGTGATATTGATGATCTTGACCCTGTGTCAGCCTAGGCTAATGTGTGTGATTGTATCTTAGCTTTTACAAAAAAGTTCCAAAGTAAAAATAAGTAAATAATTTTAAAAACTGAAAAAGCTCACAGAATAAGGATATAAAGAAAATATTTTGGTACAATTGTACAATATGTTTTAAGCATAGTGTTACTAAGAGTCACTTAAAAACATTTAAAAGTTTATAAAGTAAAAAAGTTATACTAAACTAAGGGATTATTAAAGAAATTTTTTTCATGAACTTAGTGTAGCCTTAGTGTTTATAAAGTGTATAGTAGTGTACAGTAATGTCCTAGGCCTTCATATTCATTCACTGGTAACTCAGAGCAACTTCTAGTCCTATAAACGCCATTCATAGTAAATACCCTATACAGGTGTACCATGTATCATTTTTACGCTACCTTTTCTATGTTTAGATACACAAATAATTACCACTGTTATAATTACCTACAGTATTCAGTACAGTAACATGCTGTATCAGTTTATAGCCTAGGTGTGTTGTAGGCTATACCATCTATGATGTTCGTACAAGGACAAAATCACCTGAGATCCATTTTTCAGAACATATGCCATTGTTAAGTGATGCATGACAGTGTAGGATTTTTGTTTAAATGGTAAGAAAATGCCACGCACAAATCTATAATTTGTTTTCCTTCAATAGCATATCAGGGACCTGTCTCTAGGTTAATACATAGAAGTCTAACTTACTCTTTTTCATTGACTACAATTCATTCAGTGATTTATTTATGGATACTGCATCTATTTCTGGATTTTTAATCACTACAAACAGTGCTGCAATAAATATCTTTATACATGTATCTTTCCAGTTGGTCCTCCATATTTTCAGGTTCTGCATCTGCAGATTCAACCAACTGTGGATCAAAAATACTCAGAAAAGAAACACAAACTAAAGGTATTATAAGTAATGCAGAAATGATTTAAAGTATTATGGGATGATATACATAGTTTATGTTTAAATACTACTTTATTTTTTTTAAGAGACTTGAACATCTGGAGACACTGTCAGAAGTAAACTTGCTGGGTCAAAGGATATATTTTAAATTTAGTAGATATTGTCAGCTTACAAAAAGGTTGCATCCATTCTTACTAACACAAAAGTTCTTGTGACTTTTGATGGCTTATGGGGTAAAAAGCTGTTGACTTAGATACTTCAGGAAATCCTTATTTCTGGTATGTTCCCAGTGGATGTTACCTGGGAGGTAGCAGTTTAGAAGAATTTTGTATCAACAGTGTTATTACTTCTTTGTACAGACTTCAATAACACAATGACCTTGTTATGTAATTCTGGATCTCTAACTCAGTTCTCATTGATAGTTGATAACATGGAGACACTTAGTAGAAAGGAGTTATCAGATAGGCTTTTCTCTAATTGTGATAAAAGAATTTGTAAAGCAACACTGGCCTTTGAAGAGTTTACCTCTTCCTTGGTGCTAATGAAACCAGTGTTGTGGCTGCAAAGAGCTTGAGTGATGTAGAGGCTGTGGTGTCATTTTCAGCTATGAAAGGGAAATAGGAAATAAGTCTGCCTGAAAGAGAGGTGGAGAACATGGTTCAGAGAAGAGGACATTGGGTGGGACTTCAGGGAAGTTAGTGGCACAAAGAAGAGAGTGGAGGGCTTGTAGAGGCCAGGCCTTAGAAGGCTGGGGTGAGGAGGGGAGATGTGGTGCTGGAGACCTAATTGTAAGAGTTTACCCCAAGCCATTCCCCACATCCTCACTTTTTTTTTTTTTTGGCCAAAGTTTTATTAGAATCTTTTTGACCAATGGCCAATTTTTGAGTAAAAACTTTCTGGTAAGCTGTTAAAAGACATTTCTTGAAACTTTTTTTTTTCCCAGTTGAGGGTAAAATGTCCATAGCATAAATTTATTATTTTAAATACTTTTAAGTGTGTAATTTTTTGGTATTAAGTACATTTATATTCTTGTCCTCATCCTCTTCAACATTTATTCTTTAAAGAAAAGTACAATCAGTTGGTTTTAAATCACCACCACCATGTTTTGAAGAGCTGTAACTTTTTAACTAGGTGCCCCAAAGGTTGTATCTAATGCTTGGATCCTTTCTAGCCATCACCATGACATGGAGTGGACACAGCCTGTTGTTAAACACCTCTAGGACAGGCAGTCTATTCCGTAATGGATGTATGTCTTCAAATGTTTGAAGATGCTCGCTCCTGCCTTTTATCCTTTATCTGTGTGAAAATATACCCATTTCACTTAATTATGCTCACCAACCATGTGATAGATCAAGAAGCAATTTACTGTCCCTTTCATGTTTTGGAGTTTTTATTTACCTTTAGATTCTCCTGTGCGTGTCGTCTGCAGCCAGCACAGTCAGATCTCGCCAATCTTGGAGAACCCCTTCTCTAGCATATTCCCTAAATGTTTCTTTTCTGGCAACATGCCCATCAACAAGAAGCACATACAGCAAGATTACTACAATACTCTTTTACAGACAGGTAGAAATATTAAATTTATATAGCTTTTCCATTGCGTGGATGAATGTTTTCCTGAGACTAATAAGCTTAAATTCTTGAGAATTAAGAGCATTTGGGGAGTTTTCAGACTGATTTATTTGTAATTATGTAGTCAGCTTTGGTCTCATCTTGTTTCTCCAGACTATTGTATATATACCTACCTCTTAAGTGGTGAGAAGAGCAGGTTGACTTTACTTGAATTCTTTTTTGCACTGACACTTTGAGACTTTTGATGCCTTAATGCAGCATCTTCCAAATTGTACCAAGAATGATGGTTTTGAAGGATGTTAATGGGTGTATGGTAAAAAAAAAAAAAAAAAAAGAGTTCTGTGACTAAAAAGTTTGGGGAAATGAGAGCAAAATCATTAACGCATTGCACAGTTTCTCAGTGCCTTAACTACTACACTAAGGGAAATCTGCTTAAAGTGAGGATAAGTTGGGTTAGGCAAACTTACTTGAGCAAAGAACACTTTTTCAGGCATATGTAATTAACATCCTAAGGATAACATTGCCTGCCATAGAGCATTTCTTTGTGTCTGTATAGATAATTATGCTAACATACTGTATGTGTGGATATTTAATAAGGACTAGATGCTCTAATAATTACTTATATGCTTCCATGAAGCTAATAAGTATTATATAATAAGTATTTGGATAACATGTGACATCATTGATGTTGAGTAATGTTCTGCTGGGATCTCTTGTTAGTTTAGTGTGCATGGATTTTTCGTAGTAATTAGATCTATACTACTACACTTCCTTAATGCTATCCTTCCCCCCTAAATGTAGTTCTTGCCCTTAACCAGTATTTTATGAGAATAATTCTTATCTCCACAGGCGATCCATTTTCTCAGCCTATTAAATTTCCCATAAGTGGACTCCCAGATGTAAAAAATTCTTCAGAGGACAGTGAAAACTTCCCATCAAGTTCTAAAAAGTCTGAGGAGTGGCCTGACTGGAGCGAGCCTGAGGAGCCTGAAAATCAAACTGTCAACATACAGATTTGGCCTAGAGAACCATGTGATGCTGTCAAGTCCCAGTGCACTACCTTGGATGTGGAGGAGTCATCTTGGGATGACTGTGAGCCCGGCAGCTTAGATACTAAAGTAAACCCAGGAGGTGGAATCACTGCTACAAAACCTGTTACCTCAGGGGAGCAGAAGCCCATTCCTGCTTTGCTTCCATTCACTGAAGAGTCTACGACTTGGAAATCAAGCCTACCCGGAAAGACTAGTCTTGTACAAAGCAGGGATGACCCAGACCAAATCAAATCACCAAAAGTGTCATCACAAGAAAGGCCCCTTAAGGTTCCATCAGAACTTGGTTTAGGAGAGGAATTTACTATTCAAGTAAAAAAGAAGCCAGTAAAAGATCCTGAGATGGATTGGTTTGCTGATATGATCCCCGAAATTAAGCCTTCTGCTGCTTTTCTTATATTACCTGAATTGAGGACAGAAATGGTCCCTAACAAGGATGATGTCTCCCCAGTGATGCAGTTTTCCTCAAAATTTGCAGCAGCAGAAATTACTGAGGTAAGTACTTTTTCTGAAGTAAACGGTGCTGCTAGCTTTAGGATTTCCCTCATAGGTCCTAGTTGCAGTATCCCATTTATAACAAGCAGTATGCTATTTTCCCAATCAAGTCAAGCACAAAATCAGTTTCTCTCATTGGTATTTTTCCTTTCCCAGAATAATGTGGCAATGCTTAGGTTGTTTAATGATTATAACATTAACATTATAACATTAATGTTATAAAAATTATAACATTTTTATTGGGGGAAAAAGATTGAAACAAGGATATGTTGTCATCCACACTGATTGTTACTGGATTTTATGGTTTCTAAAAAGCTATTTTCCAATGCTATGGTTTTGTAATCCTACTTTTCAACTTTCTGTTAGAGCTAATTAGCATGAGACAGTGTTTCTGGCACCAAAAGATACATTTTAAATTCCTGCTTTTTCAAATTTGCATATGATGTGTTTCAGTGGGTTCTTGATGTGCTTTGTTGCAGGGAGAGGCTGAAGGCTGGGAAGAAGGGGAGCTGAACTGGGAAGATAATAACTGGTGACAATGGATGTGAGTTAAACTTTAGGAAAAGGGATTCCCTTTTTTTTAAAAAAAAAATACCTCAAAAGCAGGCTTTGGGGACAAGAAAACCCCAAAGTGGCCTGCTTTTCCCATCCCAAGAGCTCTTAATCCAGTCTGTGCCAACTGAGACTAAGTGCTGGCTGAAAGCACTGGGTGGTGAGGCTGACTGTACTGGTTTCCAGGAGGGAAGAGCCTTTGTGCATTTGACTGAGGCCAGTTTCTATGAAGAGCAAGTAGCTGAGCAGAGGTTGAATTTACTGCTTTTTCCAGGACAATTCTGGAAGTAAAGAAAATAGAATTCAAGCTGGTTAGCTTAATTTTGTGATATTTCTTTTAACATAAGAGTAAGCTCTATTATGAAATTCAACTTAAAATTTAGCTATAAATTATATAAATGATTTTAAATGCTGAGGTTTCCTTAGGCAGCTTATTTATTTGTTTACAGTTAGTTATACTATCTGAGTGAATGGTCCTTTGTGGATCTGGGCATTTCTTGACCGTTCCACATGTATTACATTGTACCAAAGTTCTTAATGAGAATATCCCCCACAATCCTGTTCTCTAAATGTCAAATAAAGATTATTTTCACTAGATTGAACTTTACACAATTTGTTTTATATCTGTTAGAAAATGTACAGACATAAGTATTTTCGGTTGACAAAGCATCAAACCCAGTTCTGCCTAGTGATAATATGATCTAGTCCATTCAGGTTTCACCCTACAGTATATAACGTTTTAGCTTATCCATCCTTTCTTGTAGCACCTCCATTTCCATTAAAAGCCAGGCTGGAGCAGGACCTTTTTGGAGTAATGACTCAGTTGCTTCCAAGGCCCCTGCTATTGTGTGTAGCGCTGACCTGTACTCTTCTTCCCAGGGGAATTCATGACGAGCTTTTTTTGCATATGGCTGGAAAATAAGTAAAACATAAGTAATATCATAATAGCCATTCTATAAAGAACCTTCCTTTTGGACCAAAGCTTATGTGCAAATTTTATTGTACTTATTGGCTCACAAAGGCAGGAGAGTGCAACCTGAAACCCCTACACAGTCCTCTAGAAAAATATGTAGAGGCATTTTGGTTTATCATAGCAATTCAGAGTATTACTACCAGTGTATTAGTTTGTATATGGTGCACAGCAATGAGTAACCTGTCCCAAAGGGCTCCCACTGAGACATGCTGCATAGGCCAAGGTTTTCAAACTTGAGGGTGGTTAGGCAAGGCATCTTTTACCATTATAGTCTTCCTAAGGAAGGTAACAATAAATTCATGAGGACTTAACTTACATGTCTCAAAAACAAGTTAATAAACGTATTTTCTTTTTGACTAAAACTTACCAGAACGTTGTTCTTCATGAACTACTATTCAAAATATCAATAATGCTGCTCAAAATATCAAAGGATATTTTGCATATCCTTATTAGTGTCAAATTTCTGCCTTTTAATAGGTAGATGTGATTTTTAGATACTGCCAAAAATTATTAGGAGGCTGATCTGATTAATGAGGCAAGGGATCAAACTAAACATTTAGGAAGGTAAGTTTCTTTCATTTTCTTCAGTGGTTCAGTAACAACTGCATTTATAGCACCATTGGTACAATATTTAACTTCCGTTAAAGTTATTACCAATAATTGAAACATTGAAAGAATATATTTGGTATTTCCTATTTTTTTTTTTTCTTTTGTAGTACCACTTCTATGTGTTGATAACCTTTCAGGAAGAAAAAATGTGATTTTTAAAAGCAGCTACCAGAAAACAGAATTTTACATGTCTAGATCTATTTAATTTGAAATTCAACATGAGGCTGGAAACCAAACTGGTTTGTTTCATCAGTAAGTAAAAAGGGCAGAATTTGCCTTGTTAAAGTTTGACCCATATTGAAATGATCCCATACCTGTAAAGATGACCTCTTTGCTTCTTCTACAGTCACATTAGCAAAGGGTTCCCAGAAAGTATCTTTTTCTTGTTTCACACGTTCCACTTTGGCAGATTCAGTTTCATCTACAAACCCAGTCTGTCAGAGACCATGAAAAACCAAGCAAATACCAACATGTTAGCACTCTACTAGATATCAAATGGTGTTAATGTTTTGAAACGCCCAAGTAACCTGTGTAACTCCTGAGTGTTCAACCATTCTAGGCAAATTCTGTAAGTCACATGGACTAATCTATAAATCCTTAATATAATCCGGATTAAATTACTCTACTTAGTGCTTCCCTACAGAAAAGTCAGAGTCATCTTTGCAGGAAAAAAATGACAGTCTGCTAACCTTTACTATATAAGCTCAGAAACTAGCAACAAGAATGTACACACACATACTTGAAATCCAGCTTAGATGTGATACAAGTAGGCCAAGTGTAGTGGCTCACGCCTATAATCCCAGGACTTTGGTGGGAGGAATGCTTGAGCCCAGAAGTTTGAGGCTACAGTGAGCTATGATCACACCACCATACTCCAGCCTGGGCAACAGAGTGAGAATCTGTCTAAAAAATAAGTGAGACCATCTGACCTTTAAAAAAAAAATGTAAAAAATATAATGTGTATATTTGTGTATGTCATTACATGTAATATATAAAATTTACTTTCTCCTGGTATTCCAAATTTGTGGTTTAACAGTTCCATTAGTATTTCAATTAACTATTATTTCCTCATACTATTACTATATAAGTTTCAAAGTATGCATAGACATAAAAACCCTGTGATTCAGAATTTTGGTTCTAATTGGAAAAATAGCTCTTGGCTGCAACCAGAATAAAAAAGCCATGCCTAAAAATTAAAAAAAAAAAAAAGCCATGCCGAAGATACAACCAAAATATGGTAGTAAACATTCTCGCAGGCCTAACTAATTATGTAATCAAGTATATTTAATTATGATTAGTAGTAGCTTGGGGTTCCTCATTATTCATCTCACTGCCTGGATAATCAGTGCCACTGTACCCCAAACTACAGGCAGAGTAACTCCAAGTGTGTTTTTTGTTTGTGACAGAGTCTCGCTTGTCACCCAGGCTCGAGTGCAGTGGTGTGATCTTGGCTCACTGCAGCCTCTGCCTCCTGGATTCAAGTGATTCTCCTGGCAGCCTCCCAAGTAGCTGAGACTGCAGGCGTACGCTCCACCATGCCCAGCTAATTTTTGTATTTATAGTAGAGATGGGGTTTCACCATGTTGGCCTGGCTAGTCTTGAAGTCCAGACCTTGTAAATCTACCTGCCATGGCCTCCCCAAAGTGCTGGAATTAACAGGCGTGAGCCACCGTGCCTGGCCCCAAGTTTTTTTTACTTCTAGGGCCTCAATGCTTTGTAAAAATCTGTCAGCAATCTGCTGTGCACTGAAAAGTTTAAGAAGACACTCAGGTTGGTTATAGTTACATAATTAAAAAAAAAAAAAGATAATAGGACAAAGAATAAAACATGAGCCATGTAAATAAAATACCTTCTCCAGAAAGGATACAACTTTGTTCTTAGTTTCTTCAGAACTGAGACATTGTGGAACTATCTCTTCATGATTTGTTCCCTATTAAAAAATTGATGAACAAGACCAATTTTAACATATTTCAACAACTTATAAAGACAAATAGATGAGTTTTATGAGCTACCTTAACCAAAAATTCATTTTAAAACAAGTCCCAGAGGATCCTGAAAGGTGTTAAACTCATGATTCCTTCAGGGTACCTTAGGAGAATATAAAATTAACTTCTGTACAAGTTTTGTAAGCTTTAATCTCTTTTGCTGAGTCATCCTAATGCGTCTGGACTCCCTCATGATCATAGGCATGACTACACAGCAAATGCAACTCATCTTACAAGTTTAGGTTCATCAGCGTAAACCTTTTGACTGATAGTACAAAATGAATGTATTGTCATTTGACCCAAAAATACTATCTGCTGGAAGACAGTGTGTCAGTAGACCTACTGTGTATGCCTATCTGGTCCTTGCTTATTCAGAGGACCTAGGAAATTCACTTCATTTCTCTAAGCCTCATTTTGAGAATGAGAAGCAGTGCAATAAATGTTTTGGGATTATTCTGGAATATTTAAACTAAAATGGTTTGAAAGTCATTGTGATAAATTAGTTTTTTAATTACCTCAGCAAACTGAGTAAATGCCTCCAAGGTATGTTGTTCTAGCAGCCAACTCCTGTCAGCTAGCAGTAAGGCAAAAATACAGGACAGGTTGGGCAGAATTCTGTCCTAAAAGAACCAAGCCTTATTATCACAGAGAAAACACACAATAGATAATAATAAAATAGCCATACATTCAGTAAGCCCAGTGTAATCAAGTTTCCATAATCCTATCCCAGGGGACACATATTAAAACATGTTAGGTGATGTCACACTTTTTTTACTCAAATCCTTCCAGTAGCTTCCCATTTCTCTCAGAGTGAAAACCAAAGTCCTTCAATGGTCTGCAAAATCCTGCTACTTGTGTTAGCTATACTTGCTTCCCTGAATATAAGAGGCATGCTCCCATCTCCAAGGCTTTGCACTTCAGGTTTCTACTTGCATGTCACCTTGGTGAGGACTTCACAGACTATATCCCATTTCAAATTGGACCCCCACATTCATATTCCCTATCTTCCTTCCCTGCTTAATTTTTCTCCATAGCACTCACCACCATTTAATATACTATACATATCACCATGCTATTATTGTCTATTGCCTCTAAACAGGCTAACAATGGGGATTTATTAGTTTGGTTCACTACTGAATTGCCAGTGATTAAAACAGCACCAGATACAGCAAAACCTCAATTATCTTTCCCGAATGGATAAATCAATCTCATCTCATAGCTTTAAATGCCTCCTATGTTCTGAAGAATTTCAGGTTCTGACCCTCACTCCTGGGAATATAGAAGGCATTACAATTTCTGCTTATAAAACATTGTTTTATTATTTCTAGGCCTGTGCATAGTCCATAGTGGTACCCAAATGAAGCAGCATTTTAGAATACATTTCATAGTAAAAAGACAGCTCAGATGCAGGTATCTTTGGATATTTTTGTCAAGAGTTGAAAAGAAGCTGTCAACATTCTATGTTTACTTCATGAAATATAACCTTAACATGATGGAGACAGATGGGATACTGTTGTTAACTTGTGAACAAATAAGAGAGCCCGTTAGAAATTGGTTAAGTTTTTGGTTTACAAAACATTTAATCAGCATGTTCTGAGATACCGTCTTTCATGTGTTTGCTTTGATTATGTATGAAAGTTCTCATTAGTGAACTCTTTATAGTCTCTCCCTTGGAGGTTAAAGTGTCATCTAGAATTATTAAATTTTGACTATAGTAATAACAAAGGCATAACTCTCCATTTATGAAGCTCTCTTTGGTGTAAGTTCTTTAAAATTACTGTACTGGCCTGGTAATACACATTTACTGAGGCTTTAAAATTCAGTCAATGTGTATTGCCAGGCCAGTGCAGTACAATTTTATAAATACTCCATTTGTCAGCTATATATACTTTGCAACATTTTCAAAAATACTGTCTTTAAAAACAGGTTCTTTCATAGATTAAAAAATAAAAATAAAAAAATAACTTGAATAAATTACCAAATTTCCTAATTATGTGTTGTTCCCTATAAGACAAATATGTTTTCTACCCTCAGGAACTGTGTATTATTAGAACCCAAATGGAATGAGAATTTAAAATGATAGACTACAGCCACCTAATAAATTACCTGTTTACCAACATGTATTTTTCTAAAGGAAAACTTAAAATGAGTTCTAAGTTATAAATATTTTATAATCTGTCTCAAAAATAGTTTTTTCCAACTTTCATTGTAATTGCAAAATTTCAGAAATTAAAAACCTAAAAATCCCTTAATCACTAATTTTTATACAGATTTTAATAATACAAAAACAGAGTTAAGAAATATTACCTGGATAGCTTCAGGTATAAAAAGTTTTCCTAGAGAAGACAAAAAATCCAACATTGCCAAACGAACATAGTCAGGAGGCTCTAATTTAAGTAGTGAGGTCTGCAAAGTTACCACCTATAGAGGTGAAGACCAAAGAACAGTTAAAAATATTATCAGTATTTTGTATAGACACAATTATTGCCTAGATTTGGATGGAAATGTGGGGAGGGAAAAACAAAACTAAACCCAGAAAAAACAAACACACCACAACACCTGAGCTTCACTGGTAGAATTTAAATAAGACAGTCATATGAACAAGTTAGTTATTATAGCATTATTCTTACCATACCCTCCTGCCTCCAGCCACTGTAAAAAATAAAAGTATACATGTTCCTGAAAAACTTTAAGCAAATTTTGTACAGACACACTTTATTTTATCATGCTTTGATTTACTGCACCGTGAAGATACTGCATTCTTTTTTACAAATATAAGGTGTGTGACAACTCCGCACTGAACAAGTCTACCTGTACTGTTTTTGCAACAGCATGTGCTCGCTTCATGTCTCTGTCACATATTGGTAATTCTTGCAATATTTCAACTTATTAGGATTTTTATTATGGTGATATGTGATCTTTGATGTTATTGTAATTGTTTTGGGGCACCACAAACTGTGCCCATATAAGATGGCAAATACAATAAATTGTGTGTTCTCACTGTCTTATCAACAGGTAGGTCGCCAGTCTCTCCCCCTCTCCTTGGGCCTCCCTATCTCCTGAGACCCAATATTAAAATTAACCCTAAAATGGCCTGTAAGTGTTCAAATGAAAAGAATAGTCTCATCTCTCACT